TATAATACAATTTAATATATATAAATAATATATTTCAGGATTATANGTGCAAAATTACTTTGAAAAATGATGCATGCAGCAAGGTTTAGTGGTGTCACGGAGTCGTCGTTCGAGTATAAAGAGTTAAAGGTTGCAGCATAATTTGTATGATACTTTTTAGGATTCGAGAGAAGAGAGACGATTTAATTCATTCTTCTCTTTTAAATAGTTTCACGATCATTCGGTTTGATTTTATGCATTGCATTCATTCAAATTAATATAGTGAAGAGAGAGAGAGAAAGAGAGAGAGAGAGAGAGAGAGAGAGAGAATATAAACATATATAAAGATACACCTATAAAATGTAGGATGTATATATATGTACACACATACATCCTACATTTTATAGGTGCATCTGTATATATGTGTATCTGCATATATAAATATTATATTTATATATATAATATATATAATATAAAATATATATATATATATGTATAATATAATAATAAATCTATAATAATATAATACAATTTAATATATATAAATAATATAATTCAGGATTATATATAATTTTTTTATTATTATATAAACACACACACACATACACACACACATATATATATAAGTAAAAAAATTATATATAATCCTGAATTATATGATGCTAAAAATCTACATTTTAATGTCACTCAAAAATGCTGACACATCATCATGGTTAAAAATCAAAATTGTTGTCGAAAGATATGAAATTGAACATAAATTTGCCCTTATTCTTAACATAAATTTTTCCCTTATTCTAGAACATTTTGAGAGTACAATTTTAAAAAAAGCATCACTTCTCTATCTCGTTTGCGCGAGAAGAAGTTCCACGATTTCGACACGAAATCATTTCTCCCCCATTGTGCCGCGGTCCGTGTCTTCGAAGTTTCGAGAAACCCCGAGTCGAGTCTACGACCCTTCCTCCCGCCCGGTGCATGCTATTAAAGTCATCGGGTCACTGTTACTCGCTAGAGAGAGAGACCGGCCGGGCAATGAAGCCTGTGTTACATAATCCGCAAATCGCAGCCCCCGAAACTATGCAAACTGCACCCCGGACCTGTCCGCACCGACGCGAGGTCGCTGCTGTATTGCAACCATTCTTCGCCAGTTGCCAGAAATGGCAATCGATACCAAGATTCTAGATACTTTCGTTTGTTGTTCATTGATAACAATGACACGGAGCTAGCCGGGTTCGATGGTGTAAGACTGTACTTCCTTCCAAGGGTATTAGGACTCTCACAAAAAAATAAAATTAAATAAATTTGGGAAACCGATAAAAAGCTATTATAATCTCTTCAATTTATTTCACAGTTGATCGTACGAAATTGTAACAAGTACATATATCTGTATATTTTGTACATTACAATAAAAATAAACGCAAAATCGCATAAAAGAAAATTACATTTTCTCTTCGTCGATATATCCCACTGCATTTTTTAACGCTAGATTTACGGAGCACAAAGAGCAGCTGTTTTATATTAGTTTATAAAAGTAACAGTAAGACATATATTCTGATTTTGGAACAAGTGTTATTATAACATTTGCCGTAAGTAACATGTAAATTGGATAAGTAACTCATAAATGTATTTTTACGATATGAATAATCGTAAATTAAAAAATTAGTGACCCGTCATCTTGGCGAGTTCCGTACATCTAGTGTTAACTACATCTTGGTTAATTACATTTCGGCATTCGTTTTATCAGTTTGTCTACTATTTCTGATCCTATTTGATTTCACATATGTACAGTAGTATTTATGTTCCACATGTACTTATTAGGCTCGTTAGCCTTTCTGCTTTCCCACATGTATCAACTATTTTCGTCGACCTTTTCGAAACTGATTCGAACAATTTTTCCAAGACAGAGGATCGAGTTTGCTGGCTTGTTACATCGGATTTCTGGTTTTACTATAGTTAAAGGTACATTTCGCGAAACTTCACACGAATGTGTATGGTTGAGTTAGGATCATATCGGCGTAAGTCACATTTTTTTCTGGCTGCGAAGAAGGAACGAGTGTTATTATTGTTTTTTCTAATATGTCCTATCGATTACTCATCAAATTGATTGTTAAGATGATTTAGAGTCGAGTTGATTCATAGTAACCTTATCATTTATTTCACTTGTCTTTTTTACCATTTCCTCACACGTACAGATTACATTTTCCGACGTAAGTCGAAATTTTCGAAAATGCGACTTACGTCTGTTCGACTCTAACTCGTTCGTATGGTCCGACCGAGTGAAATTATCCGGTGATTCTTGGTCGGCGATGCAGCAGCCTGCATTACCGAACGCGCGAACATTACGCCTCGTCGACGGTGACGTCACAATTACTGATGCCCGAGTTACGTAACCCTCACATTGCGTGTTCGTTCCTCTCTCTCTCGTCCTCTCTTCCTCCCAGCCTGCCCCAATGACGAACGAGGATCTCGATGACGCTTGCGCCCCTTTTTTCGATGCAAGGCTGACGTACTTTTGCAATCGAAGGTAAATTGTTTATTCAGTTACGCATCGAAGATCGATCTACCGAAAATTAGCGAACTGTCCGATGCAACGATTGAAAAAAGAAAGTCAATTGTAAAAATCAACATGAAAGAAATTATTCATTAAACTGCAGAAAGAACGCTGTGTTCTATAATTTGTATTCAAGGCAACGAAATAATAAATTTACTAAAAACTAGTACACGTACTTTCAGTTTTCCCTTCATGAAGGAGGAGCGGAACTTTCTTCCTGTATTTTCCAGTAGATTGTGAAAGAATACGGGTTTTCAGTTTTCGAACGTGTATCTGTTTTCAATAAAAGTGCTTTTAGTCGAAAATTATGATATTAAAAGAAATCTATCCCATATTATTGGGCACCTTTACACAACGCAATGCGAGTACTAATACCAGAGGTGCACTGAAGTTACTAATGAAATTAATTTCTCTCTGTAGAATAAGGTTAGCTTTGTAAACAAAAAAGTTGAGGACGTTCGATGAAATGAGATGCACTGTCCACGGGCCTGTTCACTGAAACGTATGTACTGGAAAAATAGCATGCCGTAGAGAAGGTTAAATGGTACGGCCTACAGTCATTTCACGTTAATTTGTGTCTCGATTTCAGGTTGGTTCACGGCCCTCGTAAACTTGCACCGTAATTACGCGGCAGAGCGATAAATGAACCATGACAAACTGGCAAACCGTTGAACAACACGAAATAGGCCCAAGCGATACCAATCGAATATTTCGCTTGGCGCACGCAAAAATGACCATCACGTTCGGAAACTGGATATTCTACTCGTCTGTGCGTTTATTTTCACTGTGTAACGTTCGTTTAATCGATCGTACAATAAAACCTTGACGTGTCAAAACAATGCATTCAGTTCGTATCAGAATATTAGAATGCAGTAATGAACGCAAAAAGTACTGATACTTTCGTTAATTTCGTAAATAAAACATAATTTTCTCTGCACATAAAGCCATGTTAGAAAAAGCATATTTCAGAACATTTCTGAATACACTGTACATAGATTTCTACGTTATCTTATGGAAACGTGGAAAGTGCATTATCCTCGGTAGATAATTCAGATATTTACTAGATAACTCTAGAATTATAACTCTGGAATAATTTATGTATTTAAATTTAAAAAATTTATATTAACTAATATACAATGACAGTTTGACCGCTGAAGCTGGTACTAGATTTACCACTTATTTATAAGTAAAATCTGAATAAATCTTGTAACATATATTAAAATTTTTAAATGTTTATAATAAATAATAATAATAATTACTAAGTTTCAAAATACAATTGATACATCTACTGAAAATCTATTGCAGTTAAAATTTCTATTAAAAATCTATGACAATTTAAATTTCTGTTAAGAAACCATGTTATCTAGGAATAGATAACGGGAGCTACAAGAACACATTTGCTTGGTTATCATCAGTTATATGGAATATAACAGTTTCGAGGATAACATCATTTATCTGCTGCTCATGCAACTCATGCAACAGTTACGCTACCAACATTTCTTTAAATATAAGTACATTTGATTAATAAAATTATTTTGAAACGTGACATAACAATTTTCAATGGCGTCTCGGAGTCGCCGCTCGAGTGCAAACGGTTAATACTTGCACCTTCCGTTGCCAGAAATTCAACAGTTTCCAAGTGTGACCAGATTCAGTAGCAAAGTGTAAAAAATATAAAATCGCCCACAAATGTGTTCGTATACCTTCTAAAACGTAATAACTTTTTTAATGCACAACTAAATGACTTGAATTTTTTTTTTAATGATAGAGGGACTATAGTATGCTATACGATGACTAAAATGGCTTTTTTAAAATTTTCCTATTACTTGCGATGGCAAAAAGAATAAGAGACTCTCGTTTTTTAACTTTTTTATCCGAGCCTATAACGAAAAATTTTACAATGCTTTTCGTAGATCTCGGTAACTTATATGCCTGCTGGAAATCTGATCAAAATCGGTTAATCCAGCGTCGAGCTACAGAAAGATTTAAAACACGGCAGAATTTTTTCCAGTTTTTGGTCAAAATCGTGATAAAACCGGAATTTTTGCCATCTTTAATTTGTTGTAACTGAGAACAACGTCAACCGATTTCGATAAAATTTTCAACATGCACGTAAATTACCGAGATCTACGAGAGGCATTTTTTAAATTTCCGTTATAAGCTCAGAAAGAAAAGTTAAAGAAACGAGAGTTTTTTATTTCTTTTTTTTATCATTCCAAGTAATAGCAAAATTTAAAAAAAGCATTTTGCTCATCGTCTGGTAGACTAGTCCCGCAATCATCTAAAAAAAAATTCAAGTCACTTAGTCCAGTTTTAAACAAGTTATTACGTTTTATAAGGTGTTCGAACACTTTTGTGGACCACTGTATCTTTGATCGTCTTTCATCTGTTCCAGAAATCTATAAATCGCCGTGTGACCTAATGCTTCAGCGAAGTATGAAGCTGATCTTCCATCATTGGTTCTAGCACTAACCCAAGCCCCATTCTTTACCAGAAATCGAACAATTCTCAAGCGGCCCTTTCCAACAGCAAAGTGTAAAACTGAGTATCCATTACTGGTTCTATCATTAACGTTTGCACCATTATCTACCAGAAATTTAACTATCTTCCAGTCACCGACTCCAATAGCAAAGCGTAAAGCTGATATTTCATTATTCGTTTTAGCATTAACATCAGCACCTTTCTTTACCAGAAATTTAACCATCTCCAAGTTACCAAGTTGAGCTGCTCTTTGCAAAATTGATTTGCCCGAGCAGTCACAAGTGTTAACATTTGCGGTTGAAATATTGTTCAACGCGAAACTTGCGATTCCAACGTTATTTTCCTCGACTGCTACGAATAGAATGTTTTCATTGTAATAGAACTCCTGCAATTGCACATTCTCGATGTTCTCTTTGGAGAGTTTGGCATTTAAAAATTGTCGAATAACTCGATAATCTGGTTTCAATAGAAGCTCCATTAATAAGTAGTCCTTCCAAAAATCACGAATCAGTTGACGCCCCCGACTCCCCCTTTTCCATTTATCTATCCAATTCATAATCTCTCTGGCAGCAAAATATTCTTTAAAAGTTGGATAAGAGAACTCGATGTCGTCGCCGTGGCATCTAAGAATTCCAGGTGACAGGAGCACATCTTTAAATTCTTCGAGAGATTTTGTTACCGGCAATCTCAGCGGTAAAGATATAGCTAGATCTCCGCAATAACTATCAACAAATGCTTGACCCTGTTTCCGTCTTGATCGTTCCTTGACGCCCGCTTTACGAAAATATGTGTCGTACCTTCTCTGAATAAAATTTTCATATACTTCCCATATATTGTTACCTAAGTAGCTGAAGTCGTTATTTAAACCGTCCCGGGTTACGCAATATCTTTCAGAATGTTCTAACATTAAATAGATCTGTAACGGAGTGCCAATAAATTTGGACATATCATCTTTAAATAAATCCTGCATCTTACGTAAAAATCCATCGATGTACAAGTTTATCATCTCGCTTCCTTGCCCGTTCTCGCCAAAAATGTTTGCAAATAGTTCCTTACTTAAAATTAAGCGTAGACGATTGCTTAAATATTTCACAATGAATTCCCTTGTCGATTCCTTATCCATTGGCTCGAGCTTTCTAGCAAATTCTATTAGTTCGCCTTCTAAAGTCTCCTCGTAATGCAGACGAGTAGTAATCCAAAATTTGGCCTCAGTTTCATCCTCTAAATGTTGCAACAATGAAACAATTTTGTCTCTGTCCGCTTTATCCAATATTTTATCGAATCCGTCAAATACTATTAACAGATGCTTCGAGAAATTACCCTTCCGCAACGCTATTCTTAATAAACTTCTCGCTAAATCGTCCTTTAGGCTTTCGTCGACTTGTAATAAAAAATCCATTATTTTTATCTCTGCTTCTCGTTTGCCCTTACTGAACTCAATGTCTCTTATCGCTTGCAAATGTTCACTGAGATTCACTCTAATAATCCAATGTGTCCTAATCATCGACTTTGACTCGTACAACTTAGTCAAAACAGTGCTTTTGCCCATTCCCGGATCACCAGCGATGATTACCGACTTCTCATTTTTAATTTCTTCAATTAAATCATCTTCTCCTAGTAAAGATTCGGCCTTCCTATAATCTTTAGCTCTGTATTTGCATAAATTCTGTAACGAACCATAGGATAGAAGCCAAATAAGCTGGTCTTGGTCATGTTCAAAATCAAGAAGGTGAATTGATTGGTATTTTCGATCTCGCCAAAAATCTTCTAGGGAAGATGTAGAAAACACAATCTTATTGAGGTTACAATTTTCATTGAACTGTTGACATTGTAATTGATCGTTAAATTGAAGCCAGCTTGCGATCTTCTCTCTGTCGATTCCCGAAAAAATAAATATTTCCGAAAGTTCGGAGCTCGCTAAATATTCTTTTACATTCTTATCGATAGCTATTTTAGTACCACTAAATCTTTTCCCTTGTACGTAAAAGCCGGGATCATAAATTTGTGCCAAGTTGAATTTACATAGACCGCCTTCAACTTTTACATCAATCCAATAAATCTTGCTTTCGGGATTGCTCCGGCATATTTGCTTGAAATCTCTTTCGTTAAACTGGCCGCAAGTTATTTGTATTCTTCGAGCAATGGTTCTGGTAACATTCGATGGGTACAATATTTCTATACGATCCTTGATAGTATCAATTTGGGATTGTTCCATTCCGCTATTTAGATATCCAATGAACGTGTCCTCCATGTTCGAGTCAGGTATCCCGCTAATTATGTAAATATCGCTTGATTCTTCTAACAATAATTCATCCACGATAGTTTTCATATTGACCTCAACAAACAACTTAGAATGCGCTCCTTCTAAATCACACGTTCCTGGTGGCCTACACCCAATCTTGATCTCTTGATCGGTAATAAGTCGAACCAATGTTTTCGCGTCAATCATTTGTTTCACATTTTTATTCCAACGGTATATCATTTCGTTCAAACGAATCTTTTCTCCTTGTAACGTTATCTCTTTATTCAAAAGTTTTTCGTTCGACTCTTCAGTAAGATCACAAAAACCAATATTATCTTCTGTAACAATATGCTCGAATTTCTCTGTAAATCGAACAGCTAGAGGATCATGTTCCTTGGAAATTACAATAACTTTCTTCTTTGGTCGCAACAAAATCTTTAATATTGTCTCGTACAATGTTCGCGTATCTTGTGAAACTCCAGACTCGCAGTCTATTATTATCAAATTATGGCTAACTGCATCCGATTTGAAAGCGTTCATTACACACTTTTGTGTTTCCGGTCTTAAAAAGGTGCTCAATCGCATGAAAATATAACTGTCGCGTTTGGAATATTGCTTCAATTTCCCCAGCGCGCCGTATACATTAATTGCGCTTAATAATGTTTCTTCTTGAGCCACGACATGCAAAACCTTCTTCGAGGAATCTTCCGATGAGAGAAAACGTCTTATGTCATCGACGACATTATTATCTTCAAACGTCGTGCCGTATGCTTGAATCTCTTCGCGATACGATAAAGTCAACCCTACCGATATTAGGCTGCTAACTTTCTGTTCTATCCTATCAAATAATTTCTTGCTTTTCGCAGCATCAAGAACTGTACCTTCTTTTCCCTTTTCTTTACCTTTCTCTTTAAACCAATCCAACATTTCCCTTTGAAACGAATCAGCTACCAGACCCGGACTAAGCAGGTTGAACTTACTATGATCCCCTAGCTCCTTCGCAATAATCTCACCTAGTTCGACCTCGTCGGGCTGTCCTACTGCGAACACTAACTTGTCCAAAAAATTTTTTATTTCCGTGTCTTCGATCTCCTCGTACGTTAACTCGGGCAATTTATCTCGAGGTGTTTTTCGGAATAATTTCGCGAACTGCACGGATACGGGTAACTTTATTTTCTCCAGGTTTGTCCGAAACTCGGTAGTATCCTCATATCCCAAAGCCTCCCGAAAAACATCTCGAAATTTTTTCAGCCCCGTGGTCAAATTCAGATCCCTCACAAATTCATCGCGAATTACGATGTCGTTCGATATCAATTCAATATCAAATATTTGACTCAGCTTGGAAATGTTACTTCCTCGACTCACGGTCTTGTTCTCATCTACGTGATCCTTCAATTCTTTTGCCAATTCATGCAGGTCCGACGTTCTTTCTAACATCTTATATAGCTCATGATCCTTGTTTACGCTAAATTTATAAAATGTTGGTGATTTGCCTGAATCCAGAACCAGAATGTCGTTAAAATTTCGAAGCTTTGTTTTATAAATTAGTTCCTCTTCTGATTTCGGCAACTCGAAGCGGGCATTAGTAAAAACAATGAAATTCTCGCACTCATCGGACGAATATTCCTTTATAATCCTACGATAGGATTTAAAATACATCGCGAGGCTGAAGTCCTGATCCCTTTCACTGAGCAAGTTGGACCGCTTGATTGTTTTACTTTGATCTTGGCTATGTTTCGCTTGCAAAAGTAATATCTTATCAGTGTTACCCTTTTCTCTGACAATAAAAACTATATCATTAAATTTCTCTGCTTTCGCATCTTCCGTGCTCAACTCAAATGAAGCATAGCCCTTGTCTAAAGCACGTCTCAAGAATAACATTTGTATTTTTAATTGGTAAATGTCACCGTGCAAATTGTTTACTAATCCCACTTTATGATATCTATTAGATTCAGTTTCCGTACTGGAATTATCATCGCTGGCATCTGAACTTGATCGTGATGCTTCATCTATCGTACTCATTTCTCGCGTCACATTTTCGGGTACGTCCGCCGATGCTCGTCTGTTAGAGTTCCCCATCGTTTGGACGATATCTATCGTCCATCCAGATGCTCGATCTATTAATAAACATAATTAGTACAACTTAATTCTATCTGTATGCCGCTGTTTCGTTTAAGTCATACGCGACAACAAACATTTTCGTTTCATGTGTCTTTCCTCTATACAATTAACCATTGTGTTTGTTAACGTCTTTCTAATAACATCGTTGAATCTCTATCTCGAGCAGAAATTGGTAGAACAAAAATATGTAAAATAGATTTCCATATCTGCACCGATGAAACGCGCCATCTATATAGCGCGATGCGATATCATAATTTCAGAGACGGCCGATAATATAAACAGGCTACTACTGTACCTCCTGTACAATTTGCTTATAATATTGTCGTGTCGATACTATCAGCAGTTGGAAGATGAAATTTCTGCTCGAATAGAATATTGTGTGCTGTCCAAAGTTGTAAAATCATTTGTTTGGAACATTTTTTTTTTTTTTTAAGGAGGGAGTTCAGTATTTTTTATGGTACTCATCCGATTTTTCATGTTTGTATCGAGGAGTATTTTGTTTTTCTATTAAAATGACAACGTCGCTTTCTTCTCGAAAGTATTTCATTTCATCTTCAAACGAAAGTTGTGCATTTCTCTTTTTCACGTGAAACATGATCTAGAAATATTTTACTTCGAAATAAAAATGGAAAATATGACGCTTATTGGGAGGAAAAAGCGAGGTGACGTTGAAATAACCTTGACAAATTATCAAGAACGCCGTTATCACTTGTCCTTCCTACCTAGATTAATACGCATTTCGCAACTTATAGTTATTCGGCATGATCCAACTTACCTCCTTTTAAATTGCTCCAATGTTCCGACGTAGATTGTTACCTTCATACATGTAGTATCTTGCTTGTCAGCAACTGCCTGCATAAAACAACTATTGCTATCATCTTGACCAATCCATTTCTTCGGAAACGCAGATAATGTTTCGTTCGAGTGATTCGAAAAATTCTTTATAGGAATAATTCGGACAAATAACAACCCCGCGAATCTCAAGTGTTCAAAGAACACTTGAAAATATAATGACATCTAAAAAATCCGAAATTTAAAAAATGCCTTTCGAAAATCTCGGTAACTTGTGTGCACGTTGAAAATGTTATCGAAATCGGTTGACGTTGTTATGAGTTACAACAAATTAAAGTAATAAATATAGCATTTCAAGTAATAGCAAAATTAGAAAAAGAAAACTTTTTAGTATAAATTATTAGAAATACGTTCGAGATCATTGTTTAGAAGCAAAAATAACTGGCTAGAAAAACATGCATACCATAGAAATTATTATTACTTACCTCTCATTATGTGTATTGATCGCTCTGTATAAACTACGATTTATTGGAACATCCGAAAGATCCACTGGTGTAAGTGCGGTTAGAAATTGACAAGTACTGTCACGCCTATTAATATGAATCATAGTACCTACTTCCTCGTCTTTTTGTAGCGCGAAATACGAAAAAGTTGTCGAATAGGATTCTTCCTAGACGCGTAAGTGCCATGAATTTTTCAATTTTAATGTTGCGGAGAAAATTAGGATTGTTTTAGAAATAGGTTCGACTGTTTCTTTCTGATGATTTTCTATTTTCCTAGGAATTCGAATAATTCTCAATCGTTTGTAGCAAACGCGCTGGTTTCCTTGAACGGTTCGAACAACGCCAGATTGGAGGAGGACGTGAAGCTTCTTCAAGGCTACGAGAAAAATGCCGAGTACGTGAATTGCAAAATTATCACGAATTTGAACGGTGAAAATCCTTGGATGCCCTGTATGTATCATTTCAGGAGCGTTGTACTCGATGACAATCGAAAAGAAACGGAGGTTCTGGTGGTTCTATTAATTTCTGCTCGAAATAGAGAGATTCAACAATGTTATTAAAAAACGAAACGTTAACGAACACAATGGTTAATTTTATGGAAAAAAATGTGTTAAAAGAAAACATGTTTCCGCCCGGGATCGAACCGGGGACCTTGTGCGTGTGAAGCACACGTGATAACCACTACACTACGGAAACTTCGATGTTGTTCGTACTGTAAATGTCGTTCATAATAACAATCGATGCTCTAATTATTGGCGTGTGCGTGCAACTAATTGTCAATGTGTATGTGTTTAAATAAATTCGGTAATAACGGTATTAAAAAATTCATTTGGAAGGGTGTAAATGCAAATTTTGTTTTTCAGTTCAACTGCTCAGCAAATTGTAGACCGAATATGGATAAGAATAATTACGATCTGATAAATCTGTAAAACAAATGGTCTAGTCTATTATAGCGAGATCATCGAGTTTATATTTTCAATTAATTTTAATGACAGAGAAAAATCTCAATGTCAGAAAATAATTGCCGCACAGTGCTGGGATTCGAGGTACCAACTGGACAAAAGTCTTTCTTTATGTTTATTGATATTTATTGATTCGTATGTACCATGTTTATTAACAATTGCTTGACAAAACATTTTCTTTAAAAAAAATGATATGTGAAGGTATAATAAGGTAAAATTAAATCAAATTGCATTAAATTAAATTAAATTGAAAATAAATGTATTTTAAATCATTATTCTTAGAACTAAATTCTATGCTTCACTAGATGAAATGGTGTTTTTCACGCGACGAATTTTCAATGTATATACATATAAAAGTATAATAAAGAATTTATATATTTTTGAATTTTTTATATTTTCATATAACACTGGTATATTCCAATAAGAAGATTGTCTTTCTTAAAATTATTTCAAACATCCAACAATTCCCTTGGTGATACACATACTAATCACTGTCGCTAGAAACATTAATATTGTTAATTACCGCACAGTTCCGCATATTATGCTAGCAATATATTTACGCGTTATCAACAATATATTTTCGTTTATTGCCGTTTGTAGATCACTTTCAGTTGTTTTTACGTTGTAAGCCTAACCTAAAAGCAATCAAAATCGATAACGGAATAAATTCAATTCACCGCTGGTTTGCATTATACAAATTTATTTTGAGGTACAAGAATGTAAAAAATGAAACTTATTTCGATCATATCGGCTCCCATTCGACATATCTAAAATGCTAATTAATTAATGTCGGTGAAACCGACTCGGTACGACATAGCACGAGCATCGATTTTTAACGCAATTAAGTTACGAGTTTTTTTTTTGTCCGCCTAATTAGTCCGTCAATCGCGACACCGCGCGACGATTCAAAATAACCTCCAATATGGCCGCCGCGCGCCGCGAGTCAAGCGCGCGTCCACTTGCAATGAAAATATTTCGTTGTGCCTGAAATTCCGTAGGAAAACTGAAATCTCTACCCTGCTCTTCGCTTGTAACGACATCAAACTCCGCGTGAATTTCAATCGACGAAACGGGCTCGCCGACTTATCGGTATATACTCGACTCCAGCGGTTGATTCAGATCGCATGCTAAATTGCGCGTTCCCTTGCGTGCCGAACCCTTGCAGCAAATTCGAAAACACGAACAACACACGTGAAGAGAGACCGACACGAATGATCACTTCGCACTTCAAGTCGTATTTACGGCATTAACCTCGCCGAGGGATCATCGCGTTCGGTATTGTCGGAGACGTCGGTGAATTCTAAATAATACCTGATCGGATCGGGGCGCGAGGTGCGACACGACGCGACGATACAGTGTCCGACGTAGGGTGCTGTTTGTTTACGTTCGCGGGCCGGCGATTTGTTGTGACGCTTCGGGACAACGGGAGAAGAAGAAGAAGAAGAAGAAGAAGAAGAAGGGACGGCTCGACGGGGATGCAAGGGGAGAACGATAAAGGTGACGCGTTGTGGAGAAAGTAACCGGCACTGCGAAGCTTATGGCCGGCAATTCCGTCGCGGGACCCGGCGGTACACACATCGGGCAGCTTAGGCCCGAGTGCAGCGCGGCGCTATGGCAAAAGTGACGCAACCTGGCGACAGTTCGGAGGACTGGCGCCGGCAGACCGTGCGGGAGGAGCAGAAAGCGCGGCCGAAGAAGAAGAAGCGCAAGAAGGACCTCGTCGACCTGCACCAGAGACTGCGCAATCCTGCCAAAGTATGCTCTCGTTGACATTGTTGTCGTCCACACTGTTTGAGGAATTGTCGATTTCATTTAACCATCGTGTGCGGTGACCAAATTTTGTTTGTAGCTTGTTTTGCAGACTGATAACGCGGTCAAATTGACGCGCGCCATCAGTTGAAGGTTAATTATCAACGAAGCAATTTAATAGAAAGTATATATGATAGCTTTAACTATAATATAATAGTTTTCTTTCTTTTTTGTGGATGGGAAAATGAAAGAGATTTCAAGGTCGACTAAAATTTTTGTTTAACGGGCGCTGCTATAACTTCGATCCTCGGAATAGAACAGCAGGCACTCAGAAAGAATCCGGAAAGGTACTTATTGTTAACCATGACAAAAATGGCAATACAGAGAATTCTCTCCGATTGTTCCTCAGCTTGTAAAGAAGAAAAAGAAATGGACGATTTGGGTAGAGGAGCTACCCAAGCTAATTATTTTATAGTTGTTGATAATCGGCGACTATAAAAACGAGCCGCGAGCCCCGAATTATCGTGTCTCCGCTTCCCAAATTGTCCGTTTTCGTTCCCATGTGGGGAGACAATTGGAGAGAATTTACTGTAGTTCGTGTTATCACGTAAGAATTTGCTGTTTGAATTAGAAACTTGGCGAAAACTGAAATATATTCGTAAATTTAATGATGTTTCGAAAATATTTGGTGGCCATAACGAAATAAAACAGCATAAATAATTATTATAAGAAAATTGCACACAATGGTCTCTGAGCTAGGTAGTATACTTGTCAACGCTGACCTCTTTGCGGCACACTTTTTTTTTATACTTTCTCAAAAAGTTCGCAACAGCTAACCGCTTAAACAAGATGCCCTGTACAAATAACTCCAAAGTGATTTAAGATTTCAGTGTATTTCTATGAAGTCTGCGTAGCACGGGATAATTTATGATAGATATGCAAAATTATTAAGGAGTATACATAGTAAACGGGGTTGAGGTTTGAGGGTTGGACGGTTCGCCGATTCGTTCGGTACAGTGACGACGAAATGGGATTTTTCAGCGAGACCGGAAGCCGACCCAGAGGCAGGGCAATTTTGTAAAGCTTCTGCACCGTTTCGCCGACGTACGAGAGGAATATGTATATTTCGGATTATTTTTGTTCATCCACCCTTCGTTCTGGATCACTCGTGTGAATACAAACAATCTCTTACAGGGCAAAGAGACGAAAACCGTTGGCAAGTTGGGAAAAGCGCGAAATACGAAAAAGTTGTCGAATAGGATTCTTCCTAGACGCGTAAGTGCCATGAATTCTTCAATTTTAATGTTGCGGAGAAAATTACGATTGTTTTAGAAATAGGTTCGACTGTTTCGATGTTCGAATTACAGATGTCTGGGATTTACAGAAATGGCGCCATCGGCAAAGAAATACGAAGACGTATGTTCTTGAGGTTTCTTTCTGATGATTTTCTATTTTCCTAGGAATTCGAATAATTCTCAATCGTTTGTAGCAAACGCGCTGGTTTCCTTGAACGGTTCGAACAACGCCAGATTGGAGGAGGACGTTATGAAGCTTCTTCAAGGCTACGAGAAGAATGCTGAGTACGTGAATTGCAAAATTATCACGAATTTGAACGGTGAAAATCCTTGGATGCCCTGTATGTATCATTTCAGGAGCGTTGTACTCGATGGCAATCGAAAAGAAACGGAGGTTCTGGTGGTCGATTCCGTCATCAGAGATACCCTATGCCCAACTCCACCCGACGCGGATCTAGCGAGCCCGGTTTTGGGTAAAGTGGATGGGTAAGTCTCAGGTAAATCATATATATTTACGATATGTTTATTATGACAACTCGATAGACTTCGTCTTTTACCGAATTGAACAAATGCGTTTTGGATACCTTGCAGGAACATAACTGTTATTCGTATTTCTTTGCAGAAAGAAGCTACACAACAGAGATGAACGGGAAGGACAAGGTGGTCCGTCTAACTATGTTGACCTTTCCCACTTGGTCCGTGAAAGAAGGAAGGCGGTGAACATTGAACAGTTGCAAGATTCCGCTATTAGACGGTACGAGGACCTATGTGCCACCGTTCGCAGAAATTTCGAGGGGTTGAATCTTCCGGATCAATTAACAACAGGTAATTAACTTGGTTCGTTAAGAAATGATTTTACTATTTTCATCTCGCCATGCAAGAATTGTCAATAAATTATTTATGAACGTACGTAGTTTTTTTCTCTGCAACAGAAATCATTCAATTCGTTTCATGATCCACAGATCCACTGTCATCGGTGAAGATGAAGCTGCGAAGCATCTACGCGAAGTCCTTCCAGAGTCGGTATTCAAGAGATATGCTGAAATACGGGAGTGCTTTGAACGAACGGAGCACAATGCCGAGCTTCGACTACTCGAATCCCATTCTAGCAGAAGCAGTGTACAGTTCTTCCGGTTTCGGAGAATCCGCTAACCCAGGAGTGGCGAACCGGCGACCCACGAATTACCGGTGCCCCTCGGCGCCGCTCCCTTCGCCCCTCTTAGGTCCTCGAGTGACTAGCGGTGGAAGCAGCGCGACTTCCAACGGGAAAGAAGTTCGTCGGCCTTACTCGAACTTAATCGAAACATTCGTGGACACCTCGGGCGCTCAGAATGTCAAAAGGAGAACCACGAAACCGAACGATTCGCAGGCGAATCAAGACCCATTATTGTTGACACCGAGGGCCCGCGAGAAAAGGAAACAAGCTTCCTCGTCTCGCTTCTTATTCGACACCTCCATGCTAAGCTCAAACAGCTCGGCGAATAAGGTGGGTGACGAAAGGGAGCGCGAAGCGCGCAGCGCGGACTCGGAAAGCGTTGCAAACCGAACATCTTTGGAAGCGAACTGTCCTCCCAGCTTTGAAGACAATCACAAATCCGTCGACGACTTCATAGCATCTCGGATGAGTAAGCAGTCGATTTTCGCGCGATCCATGATGGAAATGCTGAAAGAGTCGATAAGCAAGAGATGTTTCGTAAAGCGCAAGAACCAACGCACGCAGACTACCAATCTGTCGAATAACCGGACGAGGAAGCATCCCGGGAAGAGCAACGCGAAAGCGACGCAACAGGTGAACGCGAAGAACCTGAAGCACGTTCCGGCTATACTTCGCAGGTGCAACAAAACGGATATATTTCAGCCGCAAACGGGGAGGCTGTTCGAGGTACCATCGAATCCGGACGTTTCGTCTGCCTCGCCGTGCTTGAAATCGGAAACGTCCAAAAACTCGGACGGCACTGCGAGCAGCACCGATACCAATGCGATAAGCGTGCAAGCTTGCGTCGCGCCTTCGCCCAGCCTGCGCGAGGACCACGGAAGAAACCTTAAACCGGACGGCGATCAGCAGTCGCACGTGAACGATTTCTTCCTGAAGAAATGCAAGAGCAAGCCCGCGATACAGAAGACCGTGATGTTCACCAAGAAGGACTCTCGCAGTAAGCGTCTACAAATCAACGGCCCGATGCCGGACAGGCCGGTGGAGGTCCTCCAACAGCTGGAGAAGTGCGAGAACTGTCAGCGAGCCGCGATGAACTCCTACCGATCGTTCGTCTGCTCGGACAATTCAAACGATTCGAACTACTGCAGCCAGGAATTCAAGGAGGTCGGCATCCCCCAGGTGCGACCGGTGCAGGTGCAGCGGGAGCCCGTTGTGTGCGAGAAGCTGTTCGTCAGGAAGCTGCCGCAGAATCCTGTCTGCTTCGTGGCCGCGGATCCAGGGAAACAGACTCAAGCCTGCGCGAAGATCGAGAAGGTCTATCGCCGAAACGACAACAGCGACGTGCGTATAGTTCAAGGCTTCCAGAACCTGCAGCTGTTGCCGATGGAGGACCAGAAGGCGAAGTACAACGGCCAGCGTGTCGGCGACACCGTGTTGTTCGAGGAACCGCCGATCAAGTACCTGGCATTCGACAACGACTCGGAGACTCAGAGGATCCCTATATACGTCCGGAGCAAGCGGCGACCACAGTTCACCGCCGTGGACCATGCAGATATCGTGAACTCGAAGGTAAATTACCGGCTGGTCTCCTGTCCGGAGCCTACGCAGAAGATTTTGCTGGTGCCGTCCCACGAGGATGATAATCTCGTCTACGTGGAGGAGAAGGACTTGAACCGACCTGGCGTGTCCCACGAGCGTGTTACCCAGCCCAGGAAAATGTGCTTCTGCCAGAACATCGTTTCAGAGGCGCAGCCGGCCGTGCAGTGTCCCGAAAGCACGTCGAACGCGCGCGAGCTTCTTATCGCGAAGCAGGATCTGACGGGAATCGCGAACACCGGATACGAAGCCGTCGTTGCTCTGCAGACGAATCGTGGCAAGAACCTGAGGAAGAGCATCGGCAACTGGGAGGAGCTTCGACACCGACCGAGTCATGGTAATGATAGAAAGTTACGGAAGTTCACTGTACACGAGAAATGGTGAATCGAATATAAGTCCGTTTCGTTGCAGAGCACGCAATCACCAAGGAGGCCTGCGCGAGAAGTCACGGTACCTATTATATGAAGTGAACGGGTTCGAAGCACTTGAAATGTATATTGTATTACATGTATTTTCTTTTCTGGTAGCCGAGTAAGTATACACAATTATTTATTGATTTCTTTCGCACATCGGAAATATAAATAGATTTTCCAGCATACCGTTCCGAACGTTCGAGTTCGTACATTTATAGGAAGTGTGCGAGATGCGACCGAGGGTTACATTTGTCGACACGCAATATCGAAGCTTAGTCTTTTAAGCGGACTCCGGCGTTCTATATTTCTGCGAAGCTAGTTATTTTTGTACAACTGTTTACGGTATTGTTAACGATAACTGTACGAGTCTCAATGATGTCGCAATAACGCGAAGGCAGTTGTTCTCCGTACGACGATTTCAAATCATTGTTCCGTTAGCGATGTCCGCGCGCAGTCGCGAAATCTTTAAATTCGCCGCCAAGAATGTGCGAACCGCGTTGGGTGCCGCCGATTTAAGATCTTCTTAGAAGGTTTTTCCAGCGGAATTTGGATCAGCGGAGTGAACGCGGTCTTCGAATCCGCGTGAACTCGAAGATGAGAAGAAAGATAGTTTAATTCTGTTTCTTTTTTCTTTTTCTTTTTCGATCCGGAGAAGCGAAATTGATTAGGATACAGAGAATAATGAGGCCATCGATGCGTGGCAAATAGGATTACGAGCGCGACAACGACGCGCGAAAGCAAACGAATAATTGCTGGCCCATTTTAATCAAGCTCCAACAACAATTTTACAGGACGCCGACGGGAATTACTACGTTAATGTAGTTTACGTCTCGTTACAACGGAAACATCAATTTACTTCGCGTTGCGCGACGATAATCGTGATGCGTTACGGTTATGGACGGACATTATCGCTTTTGAATATATTTTTTCGCGTTGCAAATTTATTTCGCTGGAAGCAAATTAGTCGGAACGTCGCCGCCCCGGTAAATCAGGATTGCGGGGCCGACGATTTTCATCGCGAGAATCGAAATATTTATCGCAGAACAGCGTCGCACAGATTATTGCTAAAGTATTTGTTAATTTGAGATATTATTTTTCACGGAGAATGGCTTGGATAATGGTGCTTTCGCATTCATATTTAAACGCTGGCGGAAAACTGTTGTTACTTGGTCGTGGTTTCTGTCTCTGCGAATAAAATAAATATGATTTCTTTTGCGTTCAGAGTACTTTCAATAAATACGGCGTAATGAACAATTTAACGCAGATTTCGACCTGTCTCTTATACACATCTAGATGTGTATAAGAGACAGATTTAACGTAGATTTTGACCATTAATTTTAGAGAGAATTCTAGAAACTATGCGGTTGCAGTTCAAAATAAGATAAATGCGATTTCTTTTGCGTTCAGAGTACTTTCAATAAATACGGCGTAATGAACAATTTAACGCAGATTTCGACCTGTCTCTTATACACATCTAGATGTGTATAAGAGACAGATTTAACGTAGATTTTGACCATTAATTTTAGAGAGAATTCTAGAAACTATGCGGTTGCAGTTCAAAATAAGATAAATGCGATTTCTTTTGCGTTCAGAGTACTTTCAATAAATACGGCGTAATGAACAATTTAACGCAGATTTCGACCTGTCTCTTATACACATCTAGATGTGTATAAGAGACAGATTTAACGTAGATTTTGACCATTAATTTTAGAGAGAATTCTAGAAACTATGCGGTTGCAGTTCAAAATAAGATAAATGCGATTTCTTTTGCGTTCAGAGTACTTTCAATAAATACGGCGTAATGAACAATTTAACGCAGATTTCGACCTGTCTCTTATACACATCTAGATGTGTATAAGAGACAGATTTAACGTAGATTTTGACCATTAATTTTAGAGAGAATTCTAGAAACTATGCGGTTGCAGTTCAAAATAAGATAAATGCGATTTCTTTTGCGTTCAGAGTACTTTCAATAAATACGGCGTAATGAACAATTTAACGCAGATTTCGACCTGTCTCTTATACACATCTAGATGTGTATAAGAGACAGATTTAACGTAGATTTTGACCATTAATTTTAGAGAGAATTCTAGAAACTATGCGGTTGCAGTTCAAAATAAGATAAATGCGATTTCTTTTGCGTTCAGAGTACTTTCAATAAATACGGCGTAATGAACAATTTAACGCAGATTTCGACCTGTCTCTTATACACATCTAGATGTGTATAAGAGACAGATTTAACGTAGATTTTGACCATTAATTTTAGAGAGAATTCTAGAAACTATGCGGTTGCAGTTCAAAATAAGATAAATGCGATTTCTTTTGCGTTCAGAGTACTTTCAATAAATACGGCGTAATGAACAATTTAACGCAGATTTCGACCTGTCTCTTATACACATCTAGATGTGTATAAGAGACAGATTTAACGTAGATTTTGACCATTAATTTTAGAGAGAATTCTAGAAACTATGCGGTTGCAGTTCAAAATAAGATAAATGCGATTTCTTTTGCGTTCAGAGTACTTTCAATAAATACGGCGTAATGAACAATTTAACGCAGATTTCGACCTGTCTCTTATACACATCTAGATGTGTATAAGAGACAGATTTAACGTAGATTTTGACCATTAATTTTAGAGAGAATTCTAGAAACTATGCGGTTGCAGTTCAAAATAAGATAAATGCGATTTCTTTTGCGTTCAGAGTACTTTCAATAAATACGGCGTAATGAACAATTTAACGCAGATTTCGACCTGTCTCTTATACACATCTAGATGTGTATAAGAGACAGATTTAACGTAGATTTTGACCATTAATTTTAGAGAGAATTCTAGAAACTATGCGGTTGCAGTTCAAAATAAGATAAATGCGATTTCTTTTGCGTTCAGAGTACTTTCAATAAATACGGCGTAATGAACAATTTAACGCAGATTTCGACCTGTCTCTTATACACATCTAGATGTGTATAAGAGACAGATTTAACGTAGATTTTGACCATTAATTTTAGAGAGAATTCTAGAAACTATGCGGTTGCAGTTCAAAATAAGATAAATGCGATTTCTTTTGCGTTCAGAGTACTTTCAATAAATACGGCGTAATGAACAATTTAACGCAGATTTCGACCTGTCTCTTATACACATCTAGATGTGTATAAGAGACAGATTTAACGTAGATTTTGACCATTAATTTTAGAGAGAATTCTAGAAACTATGCGGTTGCAGTTCAAAATAAGATAAATGCGATTTCTTTTGCGTTCAGAGTATTTTCAATAAATACGGTGTAATAAACAATTTAACATAGATTTTGAGTTACTATGGTAGCAACGAAGTTCGCGACGTCAGATCATTCATTTACGTCCACTAATTTTGGAGAAAATTCTAGAAACTATGCGAACGCAGTGATGTGGAATCCAGTTGAATATTTCAAATAAATAAATTAGTTTGATGCGTTTCATTGCTATGGGGATGATGAATCTGCTAATAGAAGGGGATTGATTCTCGACCGACGGTTTCTCCGAAAATTCTAGTTTGCTTAAAAACTAGGCGAAGTGAACGCAGTGGCGCAGAATACGGTGAAATATTTCGAATAAACGTATTAAACAATTTGACTGAAGTAGTCTTTTTTAATAACCATGGGAATGGCGAATCTTGTAATGAGAAAGCGTTGATTTTCATCCTCCAATATTTGTAAAAATTTCGCTCGAAAACTGCATTGCAGTGGCGTAGTAATAATTGCCGTTGTAATTTCTTAATTACTATGGGGACGATGAACCTCGTAATAAGAATAGGATTGATTCTCATCCTCAAATTTCCGTAAAAATTCCGCTATGCTTGAAAACTGAGCAACACGAATCCAATACGTCGCGGAATCTGGTCGAACGTTTGGACTTTTAGCACCGAATGAAATAAACTAAGGGGATAATGGATCGGCTGATAGAAAATCAGGCCAATCAAAAACAATCGCCGATGCGTTTCAAAATTCAAGTCTCCTTAAAAACTCAGTAATGCGTACACAGCGGCGTGGAATTCCAGTTGAATACTTGGAGCGACAGCAACCTAAACGTGCGCGCGACGAAGAAAAATTGCGGTTCCCGCTGCGAACGCCTTGGACAATGGGAAAAATGCCGAGTGGAGTGACAGTGGCGCGTGTAAGCCGGAAGAAAAATTATCAGGTTTCTCTGGGACGTGGAAATATTAAATTGTATTCCTATGGGCCCGGCAGTCGATGGGGTGGAATCGCCGAAGCGGGGGTGAACGGGGGGTCTCAGGGATCGCTAACCAATATTTAATCAACTTTCCAGGAGAATATTATTCTCCGGACAAATCAAGGACATATGTATCAGACCGCTAAGGGGGGTTGACGTTCTCTGTATTGATATAAAAGACGAAACGCCGTTTACACGGGTCTACATGCGCGCGCGCGCGAGCGCGCTCACCCCCTCATGTTTGTGCTTATTCGCATTGGCGTATTTGCCCGGTGTTCAATTGATTCTTAATCTTTCGCTAGGGAAACACCCATTAATCGTCGCGTCGTTATTGCACCAAGGAGGTCCGTGAGAATTGTTTGCTTCGCGGATGCTCTTAATTACAGTAATTTCTCCCTAATTCGCGCCGTGATTGCGCACAAAAATGGACGATTTAGGAAGCGGAGTTAAGATTATTCGAGCCTGTAGCTCGAATACCGTTTTAACAACTATTTTTAATTATCAACGAGTTAATTATAATTAAATTAATTATAACCTTCATTATTCTTAACCCTTTTAGTACCAGAGCCGATATATCGGCCCGCACCTTGTAGCGTTATAAATAAATAAATACGTTATAAATAGTCTAATTTCATTGCGAGAGAAAAATTAGCGTCACCGTTTCATTCGCTATTTTGTCCTTGATACACTGCTTTTTCAATTATGTAAATATTGCTTTTCGTTTGGTTTTTATGAGCCTTTTTCGAAATCCTAGTGAAATCGTAAAATTCGGCCGGTTATCCTTCGCATAAGCACCTCTTTTTCGCCCGGCACTAAAAGGGTTAAATTAGATAAAATCAGGATTTGGCCAGGCTAACCTCCGAAATATTTTGGAACATATAGTATATATATAATTTTTGTTTATACCATAACGAAAGTTACGAGAGACGTAAACAAATGCAATCTTACAATCTTCATGCGCGACTGAATGCAAATAAAAATAATGGGAAAGATCACTTTTTCATCGGAAANGGAATCTGGTCGAACGTTTGGACTTTTAGCACCGAATGAAATAAACTAAGGGGATAATGGATCGGCTGATAGAAAATCAGGCCAATCAAAAACAATCGCCGATGCGTTTCAAAATTCAAGTCTCCTTAAAAACTCAGTAATGCGTACACAGCGGCGTGGAATTCCAGTTGAATACTTGGAGCGACAGCAACCTAAACGTGCGCGCGACGAAGAAAAATTGCGGTTCCCGCTGCGAACGCCTTGGACAATGGGAAAAATGCCGAGTGGAGTGACAGTGGCGCGTGTAAGCCGGAAGAAAAATTATCAGGTTTCTCTGGGACGTGGAAATATTAAATTGTATTCCTATGGGCCCGGCAGTCGATGGGGTGGAATCGCCGAAGCGGGGGTGAACGGGGGGTCTCAGGGATCGCTAACCAATATTTAATCAACTTTCCAGGAGAATATTATTCTCCGGACAAATCAAGGACATATGTATCAGACCGCTAAGGGGGGTTGACGTTCTCTGTATTGATATAAAAGACGAAACGCCGTTTACACGGGTCTACATGCGCGCGCGCGCGAGCGCGCTCACCCCCTCATGTTTGTGCTTATTCGCATTGGCGTATTTGCCCGGTGTTCAATTGATTCTTAATCTTTCGCTAGGGAAACACCCATTAATCGTCGCGTCGTTATTGCACCAAGGAGGTCCGTGAGAATTGTTTGCTTCGCGGATGCTCTTAATTACAGTAATTTCTCCCTAATTCGCGCCGTGATTGCGCACAAAAATGGACGATTTAGGAAGCGGAGTTAAGATTATTCGAGCCTGTAGCTCGAATACCGTTTTAACAACTATTTTTAATTATCAACGAGTTAATTATAATTAAATTAATTATAACCTTCATTATTCTTAACCCTTTTAGTACCAGAGCCGATATATCGGCCCGCACCTTGTAGCGTTATAAATAAATAAATACGTTATAAATAGTCTAATTTCATTGCGAGAGAAAAATTAGCGTCACCGTTTCATTCGCTATTTTGTCCTTGATACACTGCTTTTTCAATTATGTAAATATTGCTTTTCGTTTGGTTTTTATGAGCCTTTTTCGAAATCCTAGTGAAATCGTAAAATTCGGCCGGTTATCCTTCGCATAAGCACCTCTTTTTCGCCCGGCACTAAAAGGGTTAAATTAGATAAAATCAGGATTTGGCCAGGCTAACCTCCGAAATATTTTGGAACATATAGTATATATATAATTTTTGTTTATACCATAACGAAAGTTACGAGAGACGTAAACAAATGCAATCTTACAATCTTCATGCGCGACTGAATGCAAATAAAAATAATGGGAAAGATCACTTTTTCATCGGAAAAGACAACCCTGAAGAGGAGGACAGGTTACTCGTCTCACACAGAAGCTGCCCGTAAAATTTTCACAAAACTCCGAATGATTTCAACAAATGCAATTTTGCAATCTTTACAAGATATTACAAACGATGTTTTGTTCGCTAAAGACACGTGAAAATAATGGGAAGAATGGTCTTCCTTATTATCAGAACAGCTACCCTTAAGAGAGAAATTCTTCTTCACACCGAAATCTCAGGAAATATGAAGAAATGAAATTTTACAATTTTCACATGTAAAATGTAAACATGTTTGTGCACTAAACGCAGGTAACGAACAACGGGAAACGCAGTTCTCCTATCAGAAAAACAACCCTCGTGGGAGATACAGATCTACTGTTAGAAAAACCGACGCTAAAATTTTCAAGCATACCCTTAAAAATTTCGACAAACATAATTTTGCGATTGCAGAAAACTGTAAACAGTCTCTTCGCGTTGATCGTGAACCGGAAATTAGAGATGTCGAGGAGAAGCGTTCGTAAGCGAACTTTCTCCGATATGGCGTCGCCTTCGCGCGATCGTTAAGGGTTGAAACCGTCGAGTTGCCGTTGCAGAATGATTTTTACGGTTTCAGGGTGAAGGTAAAATCATAGTTTCGCACGGCGGCCGTTCCGTTGAGATATTCGAACGTGCGTACCGAGCGATTCGTGTCCCCTTCGTTACAACGCGGCGGAATTATTGACGAGGCTACGCCATTGGGGAACTCGTTTCCCGTGTGTTCCCAGCGTACACACACCACAGACGGTTTCGGTGTTGCGCGGCGCCACACCACGTTCCTCGAACAGAATCCTCCTGGGACGGGATACGGGGAAAAGAGGGTCGAGAGCCCAGGACTGCTCTCATCGTGGCCCTTTCGTGAGAACAAGTGCGAAACAAGTGTCGCACAGGTTCCTGCCACCTATCCAAGGCCAGCCCCGTGTCAGGTCCGGGACCATGTAATTTCGCCGTACGGAAAATAAATCATACCGCCTCCTTTTCATCCTCGCTTTTGTCCTACGTTCTCGCGACGTCCGACGCGCCAATTGATTCCTTTGCAAAACAACGGCACCGTTTTATCAGCCCTCGAGAACTACCCCTACATCGTATCTAGTAATTTTCATGCCAATTTGATCGAGATATGTGAGACGATTTATCGAATTTTTCGGTAAATTTCGAGGATCCCTTTGTTTATGGTTTTTTGGGGATGGAGGCTGAAGCAACCCTTAAATGGATTGTTGCACTTTTCACCGACCCTTTTGTCGATTGAAATATATTAAAAATAGATCATTTATGTAGAAATATATTAGAAATATACAGTAAAATAGAAAATATCGGAAAAATTGTTTGCCTGATTTTGTGCCCTTCGAGGGCGAAGACTGAAACAACCCCGAAGCGATGCGGCATGTTCACTGTCTTCGATGTTAAAAATGATTGAAAATAGACAAGAAAATTTGTTAGAGGAACATTCAGAAAAATTGTGTGTTCAATTGTGTTATACAACTCCTTCTGCCGTTATGTTAAAAAATAACGATGAAAGTGAATCAACAAAAATTTATTGATATTCATGCAGGATTTTGACCATGGAGATGAAGCAACCCCTAACTAGAACACACTTCTTCCTTCAGTTCCATTATTACCTTAGACAGAACTGAAAACAAACGAACATTCTAGCACAACAATACACTGAAAAAAAAGGCAGGATAAAAACACCAAAACAACAGATTGTACACAATTGCTTTGCATAATTAGTTTTCGGAGAATTAAATAGTGCAATGGATAATGAAATATTATTTATAGTAGAAGAAGGGTTGAATAAAATACTTCACGGCGGGCAGTGCTCTTCCGTGGAAATAGCACGAGATGTAAGGGAAAAATGGCTGACGTGTTACGTAAGAACGAGTACATTTTTGATCCCCCCCAGAAATAAACGGAAAAATTGTGCCCGAACCGCGGATTACTAATTTGCATTGGTAATTCGTAAAATCCACTTTAACAGTGGATTCAGGACACAAAAACAATTTAAACATTCATGTAAACGCGAATCCAATTTGAGCTTGCTTCCGAGTTTCACGGTGGAGTTTCCACGGGCGCCTGTATCCGGTTACTTCGAATAGAAATTCGTATTTATAGAAGAGCATAATGTTATTAGACTAACGCGTTTTCGGTTTGAAAATGCGGACCAAATGAATCTGACCCGGAATCTAGTTAGCAGAACCGATTTAAATTCGATCAGACCTAATCGAAAATTACTGGAATCCTGGTCGACTAGTCCGATGTTAAAGAAGACGAAATATTTCGTCGACCTTCGGTTCCTTTTTCCGCGCATGGTGTTAATTGCAAATTTATAGTTTTCAGAGATTGATGTAAACAGAATTCGTTATTCGATAATAAGACAAGAAATATATAATGCTGCAATCTTTAATTGAACCTTCCGATTTCCTTCTTGCAAATGTTGCAAAATATGGGCGTCGCAAATTTTCTACGATCTCGACTGATTTTTATAGTTTCATGTAACAAATATATATATAATAAAATATATTTATAAGTATAAACAAATTTAATATTAAGTAATAATTTAGAATTTAAATACCTTCAATTGTTTATATTGATTTTCGGTCTTCTGTTCGCAAATATTACTGGCAACTCCAAATATTCTACAATCTTGAGTAATTTTTATAGTTTTATAAATTAATTGAAACAAAATCTGATACTAAATAATAAGGTATAACGAACACAGCTGCGATTGTTTGTTGATTTCTCGTTTCCTTTTTTGCAAATAGCGACTGCATATTGTCTGCGACATTGACGAATTTGTATTCCTAATTCATTTATTTCCTAAATTAATATAAAGAAAATCTCTAATATTACATAATAAGACAGAATAAACACAGCTGGAATTGTTTGTTAACTCTCGGCTCCCTTTTCGCAAATATTGACCATTGCAAATGTTCTGCGACTAATTTATATAATACAATTCTATAAATCAATACAAATACATTCAACATCAGCCAATAATACAGAATATAATCAGCTCCAATTGTTCACTTGCGAACATCATCGGCAACTGCAAATTTCCAGCAGTCTCGACTGATCTCCCTAGTTCCGTAAATCGATCTAACAAATAGCAAACAAATCCGTTATTAAATAACAACACGACAATCATCGACCACCGCGAAATTTGTCGCAATCGTCGACGAACGTCCACAGTTTCCGAAATCTCGCACCCACCGCGATGCAAAAACGTCGAACGGCGTCGCCGCCGCGCGCCGCAAGCCGAAATTTTCATGCGAAAACAGCGGCCAAGTGTGCTCGCGCGTCGCATTCCCGACGATGCGCGTCAACGCCGAAATAAAACCGTGCATGCAGCAATAACCTAAACAGCGTTGATCAACCTGTTAAACTGCGGCGGCGGTTATCTCGCGTGGATCCCGAGCGCCGCGCCGTGACAGCGGCTCGTCTGCCATCTAATCATATTAACGACGTCTGACATGGTCGTGTCAGGTCGTCCAGAGACGGCTCCGGCAGGGCTCTCCCATTGTATCCCGGCGCGGAGCGTCATCAGAGAAACGTAGCGTCGGCGTAAACAACGGTCGAGGGTTACTCGAGGCATCGCTTTGGGAAGCGTGGTTCTGGTGTGCTGTCCGGCGGCAGCGCGGGGAACCGGCCTGCCCCGGAATCGATCGTAAAATCGAGACCGGTAGAGGGGCAGGCATCATCGAATGATAGCGTTCATTCGGTCTGATGGCTCTTGGGGGAGAGAGCTCCGTCGCGCGGCGGGGGTAGCGCTTGCCGCGTAGCGGGGATCTCCGGTGGGCGTGGTCCGCATCGACGTCCGCGATCCGCTAGGACGCCGTAGTGGGGATAACCCGCGGCGAATCGGAGCCGGCGACGCTCCGGCCGGTGCTCGCTCCCCTCCCACGGCGACGCAGGGTCGGGCCACGCCCCCGCCGCTGCACCCTCTCTCTCCCGGGTTATTGAATTAAGCTTATCATTTGATTTTGAGGAGACCCACCAGTCGGTCGTCTCGGGCTCTCTTAACCGGGCCGAAAAACTTCTTTCTATCCGCGGTATAATCGCAATAATTTGATATCGCTGATCCGATTACGCTGTCATAAGCCGCTATCGAGGCGGTCGGTGGCTGCCGCCGCCCGTCCCTGCGCCGCTGCTCGACCATAGAATTACGCGACGCCAGAGCTCTCCTCTCTCTCCCGGGCTCCCAGACTCGGCCAGACTCGGAACGAAAGAAACACGCGTGCCGCCCAGGGCCCGACCGCCACGGGCCCCGCCAGGCGGGACCACGGCCATCATCCGATCCGTCCGCTAATCCGAAGACCGTATGCAATTTTCAAGAATACGCCGCTGACCCGGCCGAGATTGGACGACAAACCGGCCCTCCGAGATCGGTCCCCGGGAGAGCCTGCTAGCTAAACAACGCTGTCCGCGGGACGGTATCTCCGCGTGGACCAGCTGCGACGTCGAGGACCACCGGACGCCTACGCTTCTCTCGTGCAACACCCGGAAACCGCGCCGGAGATCGTTACGGTCCGGAAAGGACGCCCAGTGGAAAGTTCAATGAGTGGTCCAGGTGAGCCGCGACAGTTGTCCCACGTGAGCTTGAATTAGCTAGTGAACTCGTAGAACAGTGAACAAACACGATGGATTACTCGTACTTGAACCAAGCGGCGGCCGCCGCGGCCGCCGGCTTCGAGGCGTCCAGCTGCGCTCTCGCCGCCAGCGAGATGCAATGCGGCTACGGCGACCTGAGCTCCTGCTCCCAGATGAGCCAAGCCGCGTACCGATACACCGCCGCGAGGGCTGCCGGGTATCCGGGGAACACCGGCGCCGCGAGCACCGGAGCCGCAGCGCCGCTCGGGGCCCACCACACCGGACACTCTCATGCCCACGCGCACCACGGGGCCCACGCCACTCCGTGCTCCGTGATGGCCGCCAGGTCGCAGGAGGTGCACCGGCACGCGATCTTCCCGTCCGCCATCAATCTGCAGAGTGAGTTTGTCTGCCGATTGTTCGGTAAATATGCATAACGAGTAGACCGCGGAAGTTTAAGCGCGTTCGATGTCTGGTGAATGACGCGGATTAGATACAGGCTGTCCCGTAATTAGGTTAACAACCGGAACAAGGTGATTCCTGAGGTCATTCGGAGTAACTTTTTCCTTTGCGGAAATTTTCTCCGAGGCATCGTTCGCGAGTTATTAACGGAAAACGGTGACCAATGAGAGACGAGCGCGGCTGGCGCTAGGCGACCGAGCCAACGAGCAGTCGGAGCCCAGTTCCGCTGATTGGCGCCGCCGTCTAGCGGCAGCCGAGCTCGCCTCTTATTGGCCAGCGTTTTTCGTTTATAACTCGTAAACGAAGCCGCGGATTAAATTTTCGCTGACGAAGAAGTTACTTCAAATGACCTCGGGAATCAGCCCTTTCCGGGTGTTAACATAATTATGGGACACCCTGTATGTGGCGGTATATGCAAACTGTATATGCGTGGTACAGCGGGGGAGGAGTGTACAGGGTGTACCAGATATTTTTTCTGCGAAACGGTATCTGCATATTCTACGAGGGAGAATAAGACACAAAATATCGCATAAACGTAGGCTCAACAAGGTTTTAGTAAATAATTATGAGAGAAATGTATGTATTTACTTGTAGGTGCAAGAAATGTTTACTAATTCGTTCGATTATTCATAGACGTCTATACTGTATTTCCAGAAACGAGCGACATTTTGAATCGAAGCTAACATATCTCTGTTCTAATTGTGAGTACTGAGACATTAAAAAACAAAAGACGTGTAATGTGGAGATGTATAATAAATAGTATTAAATATTGAGATATTAAAATATCTATATTTATATAGATTTATTTTTTATTATATTTATTTTATTTTTATGTTTATTTTATTTTATTCTTTTCAATGTACATTAATACAAAATTTAGCGTAAATAATATTCCATTACTTTCGAAAATCAAATTATTATCGGAAAAGAAAATTTTGAATGCGTTTTTCTTTGAACTTCATTATCTAGACATATTTCAGAATTGAATTAGAGCAGTTGTTGTTTCATACTTTCCCTAGAGTTTTTTAATGAAGCATTTTTGAGCCTACATTTGTATAATATTTTTTTTATTATTACATTCGCTCGTAGAAGACACTGCTACCGTTTCGCCAAACAACCGTGGGACACCCTGTATATATGGACCTATATCTATAAAATGGTATAACTTTTTTAAAACTGGACTAGATGAATTGAATATTTGTTTAAATGTTAGAGGGAGTAGTTTACTGTGCAATGATTAAAATATATATATTTTTAAATTTGCTATTACTTGGAATGACAATAAACAATAGAAAACTCTAGTTTGTTAACAGTTTTTATCCGGGGTTATAACGATAGTTTCAAAAATGGATTTTCTAGATCTCGATAATTCGTATGCATTCTGAAAATTTCATCGAAAGATTTAAAAAACTGCAGATTTCCGACGGTTATTGGCCGAAAGTGTCAAAAATCGGGACAAAACTGCGATATTCTCGATCCTTAATTGTTCGTAACTCATAGAAACGTCAACCGGAACGTGGAGTATGGAAAATATGCAAGAGAAAATAATGTATTTTTTATTTGTTCAGTTCATTCTTGTAAAATGTACATTTGCATAAACTTCCGCAGTTTACTAATAATGAAATATTCTATATTCCAGTTTCATTTGTTCAGTTCATTTTTGTAAAATATACATTTACATAAATTTCCGCAGTCGAATTTCAATTCAACTTTGTTCAACGGAGTCGCAATTTTGGCAAAATTTGCTCCGAAATATTTCCGAGTGCTAAAGGTTCCAAAACTGTTAAAAGTGTAATTGTTGCTGGGATCGCAAAATTCAATTTCATACGTATTATATAAAATGGAAATACCGTAGGTCGGAAAAACTATTTTTGATTTCGAGTTAACAATTGAAGTACGTGTTTATTTACAATCTATAGAAAAATGCAGGGAAAAAATTCCGCTTCTTTGTGGTAAAGGAAAATCTAAAAATATGCATATTCACAGATTTGAGAAACGGTCGACAATTATTGGCATTATTATTATTCGAATAATTTTACAATCTCGATTGAAATCATTTATTCGAATAATTTTACAATCTCGATTCAAATCATTTATTCAAATAATTTTACAGTCTCGATTCAAATCACTTATTCGAATAAAAAAAAATTAAAAAAATACTCAACTAAGTAAATAGCATAATTTGTTACTAATAATGAATAACTGTTAAAATAAATATTCGACTAAAAAGAATCCATTCGAATAATAATTTTAAATGTACAGGGTGGGTGAAAAATCGTGCTACAACCGGCCAGGGGATGATTCTACATGGAGAAATAAGTCGAAAAGAAAGAGTAACATCTTCTCATTTAAGGCTGCGTTTTCGAGAAAAATAAGTTTAAAGATCCCTCAGGTTTGTATGGCTTGTAGTACGGCGAGAAGTAGAATTGGTATGCGATGGTCAGACGCGCCACTCGATTCCTGTTCATCAGCGTTGTTCCTTCAGCCTAATTATTTTCGAAAACAGAGCCTGAAACGAAAAAGAATTATTCTTTATTTCGACTTATTTTTACACGCCGTTTACTTTTGCCTCGATTTTCAGCACACCCTGTATACATTCGGCGTACTTTCACCGCGAGGATCAGCGAAACGCAGGAAAGTCGCGACGGTGTTCGATAGTACAGCTACATCTTTTAAATTTTCAGTGTCTACTTCATTGAATACAGTCAGTGTAAAAAGTATTCGTACACCGTGTTTCCGATTTTTGGCGAACCTGGACTCGTTTTGAAGCTCGAAGCTTCGACTTGCGCCACGCGGCGCTCATTTTCCTGTAACGTGTTTTTGCATAATGTAACTAGTTGGGAAACTAGAGACATCCTCTTGCCGGAAAATATTACGGATTGGAACGTCTGTAAACAAGCTGGGAAATTTTTGTCACGACCGATCCCGACGTGGATTTCAAGATTCTACACCGATTTATCGTGGTTAGGAATCGTTAGATACAAGATAATCGAGTAGCGATTAACCTTTTTCTTTAACCAGGGAATAATATAACGGTATTTCGTTGAACTTTTTCAATGTTTTTACTGTTTTGAAATTGATCCGATAATTTCTGCCACGAATGCATAAATTCTGCAGTTTTGATATGTGTACGTTAAGTCCCGAAGAGTTCGACTACATTTTGAAAAAAGAATCGTGTTGCTGTGGTTTTTCAGAATTTTATTGTATTAATCAAATCACAGCAATGTTTAAGTAATTATTGTTATTATTATTATTATTATTTTATTTTTTATTAAGTACTTACGGGAAGTGTGAGGTTCCTGAGGTCATTTTGAATAACTTTTTCCTTTATGAAAATTTTCTCCGAGGCGTCGTTCACGAGATATTAACGAAAAACACTGACCAATGGGAAACGAGCTCGGCTGGCGCTAGGCGGCCGAGTCAACGAGCGTACGAAGCCCAGTTCCGCTGATTGGCTCGGCTGTCTCGTGCCAGCTGATCTCGCCTCTCATTGGTCATTGTTTTTCGCTAATAACTTGTAAACAAAGCCGCGGATTGCATTTTCGCTGAGGAAAATGTTGCTCCAAATGACCTCAGGAACCCCTCATTTTTGGATTGCAAGACATTTTTGGGACACCCTGTATACCAGAATTACGAAAGAGATCGACCGCATTTTTAATATAAAGTAGAAACGAATACATGCTTACTGCTGAGGTTAAACAATAGTTTCATCCATAATATGTCCCATAAAATTGAAATAGTAAATATATATATAAACTCACCTATCAATCAATCACTGCTAAGAATATATTAAAATATATATCTTCACTAATGTGAAGAAACTTTCAGGTCCGCCTTGCTTTAAACGCAATTTGCAAGATTAGGGTACGGTTTCGCGACAACTGCGATCAACACAACAAACGTGATCAACAATCAATTTATTAAAGTGTTTCCCGAATTTTAGCATGACGCCATATGGCGTTGTCGTTTCGACACTGTCGTTTCCCGGACTTACTCTAATTAACACTAGAATCACCGAGTACAAAAGTTGTTAATGTATATTGTTTTATAACGATAACGAGATTGGATATACTCGAACTTTGTACGATTTTTATTGGAATATATGCGTCGATGAAGAAGTTTTTGTAAATACATTTCTCGCAGAAGAATTTTCATAATTTCCGTCAATGTGGAGGAAAAATTAGAAACCAGTCATTTACACTGTTTTGATAGTTTTAGTGCTAAAGTGAAGAGTTGTTAACGGTTGTTAAATGTGCAGAGTTTATGATTTTTAAAACTGCACAATTAATGGGTTTTAAAAGTGCACAGTTTGTAGTTTTTAAAAATGCACAGTTTATAGTTTTTAAAAATCCACGATTTACGGTTTTGAAAAGTGCACAATTAATGGTTTTAATGGTGAACCTATTTCATGAGCCTGTTCAAATTTCGAATCGACAGTTGAGATTATATTGTTTATAATGGGAAGGTAACAGATTTTTCTGCCTTATA